AATTGGAGATATTAAAGGAACACTTTGTGCAAAGATGGACATGATAAAGGACAAAAATGGGAGAGACCTCACAGAAGCAGAAGACATCAAGAAGAGGTGGCGCTAATAAGAAAGCCTGGCTAAGAACAAGGCCAGAGGAAGTGATGGCACTCCAGTGGAACTATATAAAATCTTAAAAGATGATGCTGTTAAGGTACATTCAATCTGCCAGCAAGTATGGAAAACTCAGAGGCCAGAGGACTGGAAAAGATCAGTCTACATCCCAATCCCAAAGAAGGGCAGTGCCAAAGAATGCTCCAACCACCGTACAATTGCACTCATTTCACATGCTAGTAAGGTTATGCTCAAAATCCTCTAAGGAAGGTCAGCAGTATGTGGACCGAGAACTCCCAGAAGTACAAGCTGGATTTCAAAGGGACAGAGGAACTCGAGACTAAATTGCTAAAATGCGCTGCATTATGGAGAAAGCCAGAGAGTTCCATAAAAACATCTACTTCTGCTTCATTGACTATGCAAAAGCCTTTGACTGTCTGGACCACAGCAAACTATTGCAAGTATTTAAAGAAATGGGAGTGCCTGACCACCTTATCTATCTCCTGAGAAACCTATACGTAGGACAGGAAGCAACAGTTAGAACTGGATATGGAACAACTGATTAGTTCAAAATTGGGAAAGGAGTATGACAAGGCTGTATATTCTCCCCCGGCTTATTTAACGTATATGCAGAATACATCATGCGAAAGGCTGGACTGGAGGAATCCAAAGCCGGAATTAAAATTGCTGGAAGAAATATCAACAACCTTCGATATGCAGATGATACCACTCTGATGGCACAAAGTGAGAAGAAAAGAACCTCGTAATGTGAGTGAAAGAGGAGAGTGCAAAAAAATGGTCTGAAGCTTAACATCAAAAAAATTAAGATCATGGCCACTGGCAAACAGAAGGGGAAGATATGGAGGCAATGACAGATTTTCATCACCTCCTGGCAAACAGAAGGGGAAGATATGGAGGCAGTGACAGATTTTAATTTCTTCGGCTCCATGATCACTTCAGATGGTAACAGCAGCCATGAAATCAAAAGACGCCTGCTTCTTTAAAAACAGAGACACTACCCTGCCAACAAAGATCTGCATTGTCAAAGCTATGGTTTTTCCAGTAGCCATGTATGGAAGTGAGAGCTGGACCATAAAGAAAGCTGACCACCAAAGAATTGATGCTTTTGAATTGTGGTGCTGGAGGAGACTCTTGAGCATCCCCTGGACTGCAAGGAGATCAAACGTATCCACTCTGAAGAAAATCAAGCCTGAGTGCTCACTGGAAGGACAGATCCTGAAGCTGAGGCTTACCAACATGAATTTGACGAAACTCTGGGAGGCAGTGGAAGATAGGAGGGTGTGGCGTGCTCTGGTCCATGGGGTCACAAAGAGTCGGACAAGATTTAATGACTAAACAACAATAAATATACAGAAAAATGAATTGCAACTATGGAACAAAAGACTTACAGTGGTGCTCTGCAAGATGAATCCCTCGCAGGACGAAAAACTCGCAAGACGAATGGTTTTGGCAATGGGGTTGATGACTCGCAACATAAATGTTCCTATGGCCCTGCTTCAGAAGACAAATTTTTCCATTTTTTATTCCTGCCTCATGTTTGCTGATTTTTAAATGTTTTTCTATGATGATTAAAAAGTTAAAGTTTTTCGACTGAAATTTTTGAAATCATCTGCACATTATGTATGGCTTTAAGGAGCACTTAATATACCAAATTTGACTTTGTTCTTACTTTTTTGCCCATAGGAACGCATTAATTAGATTTCAATGCACTCCTATGGGAAAACACGTTTTGCAAGATGAAATTTTCGCAAGACGTTAACCGCGGAATGAATTAAATTCATCTTGCAGGGAACCACTGTATTTACAAAAACACAATGAAATAAAATTAACAAAACATAAAAAGAAGCGATAATTACGGTGATTCATAAAGAAGGAAGTGATCCAGAAGAAATCCAGAATTACAGACAGATTTCATAACTGAATGGAGACTATAAAATATATGCCACAATATTAGCAACAAGATTTAAAAAGGTACTGGTAAATATAATCCATCAAGACGAAGCAGGTTTGTTTTTTATGAAAAAGGCAATTCAAATCTAATATGAGAAAGGTCGTAAACTTTCAAGAGTATTATGAGGCACATCCGAATAAACAAATAGCAATATTTTTATAGATGCAGAAAAAGCTTTTAACAATATTAACTGGAGCTTTATGATCACACAACTGGAAACAATAAAAATAGGAGACTCCTTTATTGATGTAATTAAAGCTATATACAAAAGCCAAAGATCCAGAATAAAAATAAATGGTGAACTGTTAGTACAGATTGAAATTAAGAAAGGGACAAGGCAAGATTGTCCACTCTCACTGTTACTATTTATATTGGTGATGGAAACATAATTGAACCAAGTAAGGAAAATGGATAAGATCAAGGGACTTAAAATAAGAGAAGAATTTAAAATTCAAGCATTTGCAAATGATTTTTGGTGCTTGTGGAAGAACCAGTGGAATGAGCAAAAACTCTTCAAGAGGTAATAAAGGAATATGCCATGATGACAGGATTGAAGATAAAGAAACAAAAAACAAAAATACTGACAAAAATTTGCAAAGAAAGGAAATGGAGAAACTGCTAAAATTAACAAATTTTCAAGAAGGAAAAAAGTAAAATACCTAGGGATTTTACTAACAAAAAAGACAAGCACTCTAGTGAAAGACAACTACTTGAAACTGATTGAAGAAATGAAAAAAGACCTAGTAAAATGGAATTGTGTGCAGCTTTCATTGATGGGAAAAATACCAGCAATTAAAATGAATATTTTATCTAAGATGATTTTTCTCTTTCAAATAATCCCAGTAATTTTGAAGAAGAACATACAGTCATGGCCAAATATATTGGCACCCTTGCGATTCTGTCAGAAAATGCAACCCTTCTCTCAGAAAATTGTTGCAGTTGCAAATGTGAACATTTGTGAACATTCACATTTGCAAACGTGAACATTCACATTTGCAACTGCAACAATTTTCACATGTTCATTTCTTTGGTTTGTGTTGGCACAACACAAAAACACAGAGAAGAAAAGTCAAATCTGATACAATCCCACACAGAAACCTAAAAATGCACTGGCCAAAATTATTGGCTCCCTGTCTAAATTGTAAGAAATAATGATGCTCCTTTAATTTGTATTTAGACACACGCGTCGCAAGTAAGAGGTATGGGCAATATAGAAATCACATTTCCAATCAGTTAAGATGGAGAAAAGTTGACTCAACCTTTGGGTTGTGTGTGACACTGAGCATGTAGAAAAATCGATGGAAAAACATCAACAATCTCAAGGCTACAAGTCCATCTCCAGAGATCTTAATGTTCCTGTGTCCACTGTGTGCAGTATCATCAAGAGGTTTACAGCCCATGGCACTGTAGCTAACCTTCCTGGACGTGGTTGGAAGAGCAAAATTACTGAAAAATTACAACAAAGAGTTATTCGAATGGTGGATACAGAACCCAGATTAACTTCCCAACAAATTCAAGCTGATCTGCAGACACAGGGTACAACAGTGTCAGCTTGCACTATCCGTCGCCATCTGAATGAAAAGGGATGCTATGGCAGGACACCCTGGAGGATACCACTGCTGACACAAAGGCATAAAAAACAAGACTGGAGTATGCCAAAACGTATGTGACAAAACCACAATCCTTCAGGGAGAACGTACTGTGGACAGATGAGACAAAATTAGAGCTTTTTGGTCAAGGACATCATGGCACTGTCTATAGAAAAAGAAATGAGGCATTCAAAGTACACAGAGTTCCTACAGTCAAACATGGTGGAGGTTCAAAGATGTTTTGGGGTTGTTTTGCTGCTTCTGGCACTGGATTCCTTGACTGTGTGAATGGTATCATGAAATCGGATGATTACCAAAGAATTCTAGGACACACATAGTTGCCAGTGTCAGAAAGCTGCATCTCCACAACATACGTAGTTGCCAGTGTCAGAAAGCTGCATCTCCACCAGATATCATGGGTCTTCCAGCAGCACAATGACCCAAAACACAATTCAAAAAGCATTCAGAAATGGTTACAAACAAAGCACACGACAGTTCTGAAATGGCCAGCAATGAGTCCTGATCTGAATCCCATAGAACACCTGTGGAGAGATCTCAAAACAGCAGTTGGGAGAAGGCATCCTTCAAATCTGAAGTCCTTGGAGCAGTTTGCAAAAGAAGAGTGGTCCAAAATTCTAGTAGAGAGTTGCAAGAAACTCATTCATGGTTAGAGAAAGTGATTGATTTCAGTTCTTTTTTCCAAAGGGGGTGTTGGAAATTTTGGCCAGTGCATTTTTAGATTTCTGTGTCAGATTGTATCAGATTTGACTTTTCTTCTCTATGTTCTTGTGTTGTTCCAACGCAAACCAAAGAAATGAAAATGTGAGTACCAAAACATTTGCAACTGCAACAATTTTCTGAGAGAAGGGTTGCATTTTCTGACAGAATTGCAAGGGTCCCAATATTTTTGGCCATGACTAAATTCCTGGTTGTGAAACCCCATTTCCAATCCACATAGGCATAATAAAGTCTTCTCTCTCCTGTAGCTTTCCCGTAGCTGTTTAGGAATCACTTTAAATGTTCTGGGGGTGGGCGATTCGAACTGATGACAAACTCATGCAGCCAGAAGTTTTCTTTTCTTTTCTTCCTCCACCCTCCACAGGTTTAGAATGTTATCTCTCTTCTCAAATAGGAAGATTCAACAAATGGCCCTGGAAAACACCTCCGTCCACTTCACTGCTTAGCCCCGCCTCCAGTTTCCTCTAGCCATTGAAGATGAATGCCCTGGGGTTCTACTGGAGTAAAAATTGGTGTGCTTTCCCCGTGTCCAGATGTACTGACTGAGTTCATTCAATTGCCAGTCCAACAAACCTAGTTGTACTAAATAATGTAAAATATTTACTTACAAAGATTTTGGGCAATCTTTGGATCCAAAATTTTAAGTTCTTTGATTCGTTTTTTAATAGGCTTCTTTTCTTCAAGAGCTTCATCCTTTTTTACTGTTAAGGTTACATAAAATGGTATGTGTCAGTACAGAACAATATTAACACTATTTAAATACTTAGATTAAACATTTAATGGATACTGAAATTATTATGTATAAAAATTAAAATAAATGTTTGCAAATTTCCACTGTATGTTAGAAACATTTACTAGTTCTCTTATTACTACTGTTTCAGAATTAAAGGGGGGATCCTAAATACAATATTTAGTCCCAAATCAGCATAAATCTAGGAAAGGTACTAATCCAACAAGTAAAATAACACACAGCTATGTGGAGATCTAGGTAGAAAGCTTACATGCATATTCTTCTGTATTTGTTGAATCTTCCTATTTGAGCAGAAATTGCGTAACACTGAACCTCAATAGTGTATGCCACAAGCTATATAGCCAAAATGGAGTTACTTTGGAAGAAGAGAATATCAGCATGCTTAATGAAGTCCTGGGGTTTCCAAAAGGACACAAAATATGGGGGGAAATAAATATCCTATGTAGTAGGGGGACTAATGAATGGCATATTATTGTGAAAGGCATGATTACATGGAATTTTTCCAGAGGTATGAATATAAAATACAAAAGGGGGGGATCTGTGTGGTCATTATACACAGTCCAAAGGCAACTGTGGGTGATAAAATTATTAGACTACTAAAACAGTTGCTAAAATCTGCGTCTTCAAGAGGATGATCATTACAGAGCTAGGGGTGGTGCAGAAGAAATATGTTATGAAAAGCATGGCTAGATATGTCAACTAGGCTCCTTTGTTCAATGCAAGTTTCAAAATGGGGGTTGCAGACTCAGGTCAGAGATGTAGATTTCACATTTCACCTCTGGAGGATTATGTTTCTCCCAATTTTGTTTAAGAAAAGTTTGGTTCCTCTCTCCCCCACTATCTTTCTCTCCCTGAGTCCTCTCTTTCTGTATCTTTGTGTAGCTTCTCCCTTTCTCCTTCCCCCACTTTCTTCCTACAACTCGCAAGTGTTCCTTCCTATGGTTTTTCTCTCTGTGGCTCATCTCCCTCTTCTTTTTTCTCTCTCTCCCATTATAGTTCTCTCTATCTCTACCTAGGCCACCGCCTTGTAGATATTTTATCTTTCTTTCTCCCTCCTGCCCTCTGTATCTTCTCTTTCTCTGTGTATGTGTTCACTGACACTGACTTCTGTGGTAAAGCTGCAGTCAAAATATACTACCTTACCCAAAAGTAAGCCCTGTTCACTTCAATGAGACTCAAGCACTGAGTTTCCTCGAGTACTGGAAAGAGGTTTGGACAACTGCTACAGAAGCAGATCCAGCTGAAATTTATGAAGTAATTTCCCAAGCATTTTAAAGGGCAAGTATCTTCTAAAGTACAATATGGATCAATTTCAAATTAAGAAAAGCACATAATTGAAACCATTTTATTTTCAGGAAGCAGAGATCAAGTGTCTGAAAAATAACCACATAATTGGTCAGGTGTCAAGAGAAAAAAGTCTACAAAATGAGTTGACAGGGAGAAAATCTTTTTAAAAATTTTTTTTACAACTTTAAAAGTAGGAGCTTCATGGAGAAGTGGCTAAACTGCTGTACTGCAGCCAAACTCTGCTCACGACCCAGAGTTCAATCCCAAGAAGCCAGCTCAAGATTCACTCAGCATTCCATCCATCCAAGGTATGCAACTCACTGGAGGGGGGGGGCAATGTGTAGCCTGCATAATTAAGTTGTGAACCACCCAGAGACAGCTTTAAGCACTAAGGCAGTATAAAGTATAAGCAGTATGCTTTGCTTCCTGCTTTATTTGTCCATGTTTCTCTGAGGTTTTGCACAGACAAAACCCATATGGCCTACTACTTCCCAGTATAGTCCCAATTCAAAAAACAGTTCCAAAGGTGGAACACTTTGTTTGTACTGCCCACTCCTATTAGTACACTCTATTGAATACTGATGCTGTGAAGAGATGCTTATTTAAAGCAGCTTGATCAGCAGCTTTCAACAATTGATCCCAGAGGAAAAGCTTCAGCTAGAATAACAAGAATTGGTGATGTTTCAATCAAATTAAAGTAGGCTCATCTAAGAGTTATTTGGATTTTTTTAAATTGACTGATTAATGTTAGTTAATTAAAATCTGTCAGTAGCAAGCATTATTATTTTTTAGTCACAAGGCGGCAAACTTACGCAACTGCCTCCTAACCAGCAGAAAAGAAGCTGCATAAGATCTGGGGTATTTATTTCTCCAATCATGTGTGCTCTCCTTTTAACAGCCCCAAATTCATCAAACAGTTGAAAGGAAAGAGAGAGAGAAAATGAGAAGCTACAACTACCTGCTAAGTTACAGGCAGAGAAAAGTACTGAATGAGAATTAAGAAAAGGCATTGGGATGTAGGTGGAGGTCTAACTTTAAAAAGCTGGCTACTTTTGCTATTTTGTAATACAGTGATAGTTTTGAATTACGTAGCTACATACCATTCTTTTGACAAGAGAATGTAAGTTCCAATTTGCAGAGCAGATCAGCATCTTCATATTTGCCATCATTTGCTGTTATCCAGAAACAGTTCTCATTCATTTCATGTGGACTGATCTGCAAATACACAATTTTGCAGTCATATCTAAGTATATATTTGCATGATATTTAGGTACAGAGATACTGTGTTAAAAAACACACACAATATAGAAATTTACTCATTAGCTGATAAATATTAACAGAAAACAATTCTTATTACTCACAAAGACTTAGGTCCGTTGTAAAGAAGAGTAGATAAGCCAGTTCTTCCAGTTATAGGATAGAACAAACGGGGCTCAATCTATTTATTATTATTATTATTTATTTGATTTATACCCCGCTCATCTGGTCAAATCGGTTTTCAGATTTAGTTTGAGGGGAAGTGGCTGTATGCCTACTTCTTTCTGATGATAAGGGATCTTGAGGTTGCTAATTTTTCACCACTACTAGTTCCAGCAAGGGTGTGGCAAGTGCAGCAGGAGGAGCAGAGGTAATTTTACTGCCACATGCTTCTGAAATAGTGCTTTGCTGAATCTCCTTCTTACCCATGTGAGATGTGTATATATTTGAAGTGGGGTTCCCACCAACCACAATGATACTTTGCACAGGAGAGATTTGCTGGGAATGGGGGCTTGTGGTAAATCCTCCAATATGATGGAGTTTTATGGGAAGAATGGTGTTCACAAAATCTATTAATAGATCTTTCTTTATACTGTATAACAAAAACATATTCACCTGCCTAATATATCCCAAGGGGCCTAAACCTAATTTAATATCTCTCTATTGGTTTATAATATATTCATATTTAAATCTACTAATCCTAAATCTTATTTCTAACTATATTAAGTAAACAATATATGATGAGATGCCAAGAATGTAAATGGAACTTGAAGGTTCAGAAAAGGACACAGAAAAAAATGCTGCAGTGCAGGTTGCCATCAGAGCATATCCTAACCGTAAATGCTCAGGAGATTTATAAGAAGCTAACTGGAAAGAACCAATGTGAAAAAATACCTTCTGGTATCTGTGCCTGCTTCTAGATTTCATTGGTGCAGGTAGACAATATTTACTGCTCATCCCAGTCACTCTCCCTTGAGAAACCAATGGTTCTCTGCCCCCACTACCCTTGGTGCCAGAGTGTCTTAAGTTTCATTTTTCTTTCCTTTTTAAATTTTTTAGAATTTTCTATAACTCTAACATAAACAAAAACATACAGCATATAAACTCAAATACAATTTAACTGTGTTCCCCACCACCATTGCCATATTCTTCCTCTTCCTACTCCTCCTCCTTCTTCTACTGTCCTCTTCTCCAAAACTGCATTGATTCTTGATTTAGAGATTTCCCTTTTCCCCTTATTAACACATATTCCAAAAATTTACCCCATATTTCATAAAAATTATTCTTTTTCAACTCTCCTTTCTTAATCTTTAAATTACAAGTTAATTTATCATTTATTGCTATATTCCATATTTCTTTGTACCATTCTTCAATTTGCAATTCAGCTTTTAATTTCCATTGCCTAGCAATAATCAGTCTAGCCGCTGTTAATAAATTAGTTATCAATTCTTTAGTCATTTTGCCATATTCCACATTCTCATATATTGATAACAAAGCAATCTCGGCATTAAATTCTATATCTTTTCCACATATATAGCTCAATTCTTTAAAAAATTGTTTCCAAAATCTTTGTACTTTTTCACATTCCCACCACATATGAAAGTACGTACCAATTTCCTTCTCACATTTCCAGCAGACATTCGGATGATTGGCATTAATCTTATTTAATTTTACCGGTGTTAAATACCATCTTAAACTGAGTTTTAAAACATTTCCTCTTATTCTCACTGACATAAATCTTCAAACCCTCATTTTCCATATCTTCCTCCATTCTTCTTCATGTATTCTTTTTCCAATGTCTTGTTCCCACACTATTTTCAATCCTTCTTTCTCACTTTCTTCTTCCTCTAAATTAAGAAGTGAGTAAATTTTACTCACAGTACCTTTAACTGAGTCAGTCATCCGAATGTCCTCATATGACAATAAAAATTGTTCATACTTTGTATATTCACTACCTTTATTATATTTATTTACCCATTCCTTAGTCCATCTTTCTAGTTGTATATAATTCAACCATGAAATACTCCTATTATTACAGATATTCGGAACCATCAAATTGGATTCAGATATATTCAGTATCCGAATTTGGCAGTATTTGGTGAATTCTGTGACGAACACTCTCCCTGAAGAGATGATGATCACTGTCAGCGAGTCAGTGTGGGCGCAACAGACTTTATCTTTGTATGAATACAAGTCCCTGTTTCCTATTTCCTCATAAATTCCAAGTATTTCTGAATCTGAATGCACATCCAAATTATAATCTCTACTCTTATTTATTTATTTATTTATTTAATTTATATGCCGCCCACACTACCCAAAGGTCTCTGGGCAGCTTACAGCATTTCAAATACAATAAAGTTATGTAGCAATTAAAATACAATTAAAATATATATAAAATTGCCATCGGACCCATAGCTAATATTATTTCAGTTAAAAACCTTCTGGAACAGGAAGGTTTTGACCTGGCGCCGAAATGTCATCAGTGTCGGCGCCAGACGAATCTCAGTCGGGAGGGCATTCCATAGTCTGGGGGCAGCTGCCGAAAAGGCCCTTTGTCTACAAGCCGTCCCTCTTACCTCCTTGAGGGACGGCTCTTTCAAAAGGGCCCCCTGGCTAGATCTTAACTGCCGGGTAGGCTCATCTTCTTGCAGTGTTTTGCCCCATCCCTTGCCACTTGGCTAACGAGTAAGAAGATGAATGGCAAAGGAAAAGAAACTGATGTCATTTTGCAAAGAATCATAAAGTAGCTGTTTTATGGCTCTGCTGCCACACAAAACCCATCTTCTTTCCAGCTAGGTGCAGCAGCATCTTTGTTCCCAGCACACCACCTCACTAGAGACTGTTTGTTTCTTTATTTAACTAGTATTTAACTGACACAAATGATACAGAGTAATTTTTTTATAAAGTTATGCATAAGATACTTTCTACTCTTGTTTTACCTTGGACCAGTTGAATCTTTTCATAGTGACTTCACATTTGAACTCTTTTTTAGGCTTCAGTCCAAAAGGCAGAACATGAGGGGAGCACTGTGTTTCAAGTAGTCCCTGCAGTGGAGGAGGAGGAGGAGGAGGAGGGACACCAAAGGGAGCCATTTTTCCTGAGCCACTGGTAAATGAAGGTGGTAATGGAGGTGGGGGGGGAGGTGGCACAACTCCAGTGACTGACAGCAAATCAGGTGATACAGCAGCTGATGAAGGATCTGCATTTCCTCTGAGAAATGTGTCATTCTTTACAGAGCCAATCTGAAAAAAAATTGTCAAGTTTATCAATGTACCATTGTGCAGATTGAGTGGGAGTCCTATCATTCTTAACCATAAAACAAAAGACAAATCAATAAACCCCACAAAACCGCTCCTACATGAATATCCACCATAGAAATGAAAAGATGCCTAGGCAAATAATTATTTTATCCTCATAAGCCTTTGTATGATAATATAAAATACAAACATTAATCATAAAGGTTTCTTAAGACTGGATTAGACATCTATATGACACAACTATATTCATACTATAATTGTTAATTTTCTGAAGTAATGCCCCAAATCCGGTATTTTAGCATAGTAATCCACACTACAGTAAGCCCACAGAATCTACAGAAATTTGGTGAGCCAACTCCTCCAGAAGTTCCCTTGACTCAAATGGGCCAAACTCTAATAATGGCTATAGAAGCTATAGTCACAAGGACTTTCTCAATAAATGTGACCAAAGCTGATCACTCCTGTTCCTTCTTGTTTGGGCAATAACACGAAAATAAAAATGTGTAAGCAATAACCCTATGTGCCTCAATTATGTAAAAAAGGTCTTTGTCATGGATACTCCATACACAACATGAAGAAGCTCCCAAGATGCATAAACTCTGAGGGGGGGGGAAAGACTTTTTACAGCTAACATTTTTCTTACTGTCAATTGCTGTATCTTGCTTTTGCTAAGCAACTATACATTAAGTTATATATATTCTAAAAAAGCTCCAGATGTTCCCAAGAAACTGTAGTAGCTGTGGCTGGAAGGAAACTGAGGAATGACAGTTGGGTGGAAGAATAAGTGAGAATAAGAATAAGTCAATGCTCTGGAATGTTCCCAGGAGAACATCCCAGTGCAGAAGTATTCATGGGTGTGAATCACAGAGACTAGGAAAAAGAACAGGTTACTAGCTATAACTGTGGTTCTTTGAGTGTTCATCTGTGAAGTCACATGCAGATAGCTGGAAGCCTTGGAACCTTCTAGAGTAGGGGTCTCCAAACCATGGCCCGCAGGCTACATCTGCCCCAGCTTGCCTTTTTATCTGGCCCAGCATGCATGTAGGCATGCAGGAGTGCATACGGGCAGGCAGGCATTCAGCGTGAGGGCTTCTTGCTTTGGCCCTCAAAAATGTGAAACATATGATGTGGCCCTCATGCTGAAAAATTTACAGAACCTTGTTCTAGAGCTTAAGTAAAATATATTGTTAGTCACCTCCCCGTCCTACTGTGTATGTACTGGCACATATCAAACCAGCCCTCTCAATTCTCTCCAAGGCCACTGCCAGAAGCTAAGAAGAAAAAACAGCATGACAGCCTGAGGGGAGGAGGGTGTTTTGTGTGATTGCAGTGATGACTACTCAAAGAACCACAGTTACAGGTAAGTAACCTGTTCTTCTTTATGGTCTCCATGAATCATGCATATATGGGTGAATAGCAAACGAACTTACTCGCAGGTGGGATGTTACACTAGCATGGAAGACACAACAGCTCTGCCATAAGATAAAGTAGCCTTGTCCTGGACATGTAGTCTGTAGTGTTTCACAAAGGTGGATAGCTGAGCCCAGGTTGCAGGCTTTACAGATGTCTGGCAATGGAACACTTCTGAGGAAAGTAGTAGAAGAGGGCAGCCCTAGTAGAGTGAGCTTTGATAAGTAGTGGGAGTAGTTTTTTGCCCAACTGGTAGCAGAGGGATAGCATGGAAATGATCCATTTAGAAAGAGGAGTAATTTGAGATCCTATCAAGGAAGAAGCATAGCTTACAAAGAGTTTGTTAGTTTTCTGAAAGGAAGCTGTGCAGGATGTGTAGAAGGCAAGTACCCAACTGATATCCAGTATGTGGAGGGTACACTCCAGAGGTAAAAGGTGGGCAGAATGGGGGTGGTTGAGATGAAAATCTCAGGGGAATGACAGATCAGGGAAAACTAAAACTGGCTTTGTAAAATTGCGGATAAGGAACATTGCAGCCCAGGGTGCAGTTCTCTTCCTCTGGGAGGAAGACAGTCTTAAGGATGAGTAACTGCAAGTGTGTTGCTGCAAGCAGTTCAAACAAAGGTTTTGTAAGGTGATAGAGGACTGTGACAACCCCAGACCTACTGGGATATGCCACAGTTTCACTAAGCTGCCACCAACCATTCCCTATAAGAAGTCACACAGACCAGGAATGGATTTTTTAACAAACAAAGGAATAAGGTTTATTTAAATAACACACAGGGAAAATAAAATGATCAAGTGAATAAGATACAGTAACGTGGCTTAGTCTCAATCATACATACACCAGTTTGGTTCACACAGAACACCTTTAAATAAAGCACAGACCCTGAACCTATCAGTTCTGGCTAACCATACAGACACCTGAACCTATCAGGTTGGTACTGACTGACACACAGTAGTACCCTGTCTGACACACAGACTCCCACACCAGCTTCTTCTCTCAGCTCTTCCTCCAGCTTCTCCTAAACTTCTCCACACAGGCTTCACATATATATACAGTACAGCCCCTCCTCCTGATGTCCCGTCTTCCACTCCCCATAGGATGGAACTTTCCCTCCAAACCCATGACAGACAGGTAACATCAGTGCTGTATGTAACAAGGACTAGTTAAAAGGATCACTGGGGAGTGGAGGGTAGATGTCTGGTCAGGTATGTTGATAGCCCTTAAAGAACTTTTTTAAGGGTACTGAAAAAACTTTGAAGCAGGAAAGTCCACAGGTTGTTTAGAAACAACGGTGGATAGGTACACTATGAGAGAAAAGAGGAGACCTTCCTTGAAGTGGAAAAGAAAGAGTAAGATTGTGTGTAGGGATGGGATAAGTGCTGCTTTGTTGAGTGACTTGATGAAGGAAAGGAAACTTTGCCTCTTATAGTCCAAATCCTGCCTAGTGGAGGGCTTCCTAGTCTCATTTAGTATGGTGAAGAGCATTGAGGAATTCTCTATACTGCAAAATTGAGAAGAGCCAGGTCTGGGTGAAATATGATCCCAATGTGCTAGGAGAAGAGGCGGATCATTTTGGGGAGGAGAACTATGGAAGACATATTATGCAATGGGGTGAGCCATGCTTGCCTTGGCCACCAGACTATTATGACGATGGCATTGGTGTTATCCTGCCATATCTTTGTGATAATCTTGTGAAAGAGAGAAAGGGGTTGGAACAAGTAAAGTTGGCAATGATTCTACTGAAACATGGTGTCTGTCTTCTAAAGATTGAGGACCCAGTCCTGCTCTGAAGCAGTATATGAGGCACTTGCAATTCTGATCTGTGTGAAATAGATCCACCTAAAGTGTGCCCCATCATTCACAGAGGGAGAGGAAGGTGCTTTGATCCAGTCCCCATTTGTGGTCTTGTGTGAACTTCCTGCTGAAACTGTCTGCTATTTGTGAACCAAAGGAAATGAATAGAATGGGTGCCCCCCTTGTTGGTTGATGTCGTACATGGTGATCATGTAATCTGTGACCACTTGCACTATTCTACTCAACAAGAGAGGTTGAAAATCCCTGAGAACTTTGAGAAAATCCCTGAGAGTTTGATGTATCTGGTAGGAGGAGGGTCTATAAATTTGAGAAAGTAGCAAAATTATATAATAGTACCCAGGTGTCTTTGGTAATCAGGGACCAGTTGTGAAGGAATGGAGCTAGTCTGGGCTGATGATGGAGAATGGAGGGGTTGATTGTGATAGAGTCAAAGATACTGTTTCCCTTTTTTTGCAGGCTGACGGTAGGATTGCCAACGTTGGATAGAAGTCTGGGATCGAAAGGCAGCAGTGGACGAGGAAGCCTGTGAGGATCTCCCCTGAGCTGGCGGTTTGTAAGAACGGTAGATTGATTAGATGTTTGTTGGTATTGTTGGTGACCATACTGTCTGCGCCACTGGCATTTTTTGGTATCTTGGCTGTTGTTGAGTCGTGTAAGATTTGGCTGTCTTTTTTATCTTATGCAAATTTTCCATAGTATCATCTGTCTTTTCATTGAATATGTGATGATTTGTGTTTTTATGTCCTAAGATTGTCCCAATAGCATCCATCTTGATTTAATGTCTGTGTCTGAGGTAGGAAAATTTTACATGCTGTGTCAGAGAAGCTTCGTTCTCTGGTTATCTAGTTGCTAAGGAGAGCCAGAGAGTTACATTCCTGGTAGTCATAATAATTCTGCTACAAAACATGATAACGACTCAAGCTCCCATGCGAAAGTTAGGCGGGTCAACAAGACCCAGGAAGGGGTGTTACTTATGCGGCATCCTGGGAAGAAGAAGGAAGTTGGGAGAAGTTGGAAAAAGATGGAGTTTGACTGAGAAAGGACAGACATGTGCTTTTTCCCAAAATGGATTATAACTTTTGAATGGAGGCTTTTTGTCAACATGGGCTAATGAATTACAACTGGATTTTACCTTACCTGTGGGACTATGGACTGTGAGGTCTCAGGATACGTAAGAATGACTACGCTTATGCATTATCCCAGTTTAGAATGCATTTCTTGTTTTATTTTTATAGCTGGAGTGGTGGGGGGGATCTGTCAGCCTTGATATGAAAATGTTTCTAACTGAAATGCTTTACTATAATCTGAATTCTTTTCTGAACCATATGTCTTAATAAAGCAGTAATGTTTTGGAATTGCATGCATTGCTTTCTTGAACAGACTAACCTATCTAATTGGCCATGTGTATTTGCTCCCATATAGAGCCCAGATTTGTCTGAGTGTAAACTCATGGATTGTCTGTGTTTCTTGTTCTTACTTAACAAAGGGGATGGACTTGAGGAAGGAAAATTAGTGCAGGGCCTGGCTGAGATCTAGGGCTCGTCTTAGCTCATAAGGACTGACTAATTTTCTGGAATCTCTCCTTCTCCGGCTTCCCCTTAATCTCTTTGGAGATGGGGGATTGCCTACAGAATAAACCCATGGAATCAAATGGGAGCTCTTCAATATGGGATTTAGCATCTTCTGTAATTCCCGAGGACATCAGCCATGCGTGTCTTCTCAAAGCAACGGCAGATGTCATAGACTTAGATGC